AGTTTCTGTCGGGGTTGATTTCTATTTTTATTCCACTGTGACCTGAGATGCATGGTATGATTTCTATTTTTTAAAATTTTTTGAGACATGCTTTGTGTCCTAGAATATGGTCAATCTTAGATAATGTCCCATGAGCTGATGAGAAGAATGTATATTCAGTGGTTTTTGGGTAGAATGTCCTGTAAATGTCAGTCAGGCCCATTTGTTATAGAGTTCTGTTTAAGTCCATTATTTCTTTGTTAATTTTTTGCTTGGAGGATCTGCCCTGTGCTGTCAGTGGGGTGCTGAAGTCTCCAACTATTATGGTGTTGCTGTTTATCAATTTGTTTAGATCAAGTAGAGTTTCCTTCATCAATCAGGGTGCACCTGGGTTGGGTGCATACATATTTCGAATTGTTTAGTTTCAAATTTTTTAGTTCCCTGAATAAATCCTTCATTTCCAGGGGATTGGTTTTATTTTTCTTTAATATTTCAATTTCTTTAGTGAATTTTTCTTCCAAGTCCTGGATTATCTTTGTGGTTTCTTTGTGTTGGTCACCCATTTTTTCTTACATATCATTGAGTTTTCTTACAATCCATGTTTGAAATTCTTTTGTCATTTTAGAGTTCTGAGTTTGGTTAATGCCAATTCCTAGGGAGCTGTTGTTCCTCTTTGGGGGTGTGCTTTCCGTTTGAGTCTTCATACTTACAGAGTTCTTTCACTGGTTCCTTCCCATCTGGATCAGTTGTTCTTTCTTGCCTTTAGATTTTCGTTTGGATAATGACACGTCCTATTTAGTCTCTGAGCCAGTAGGTCGTTATTATGGTTTAGATTCGACCACATCCTTTACGATCAATCAGTAGATGCAGTAAAAGGGTGTGCAGAATGACCTCCCTTTCAGTAGGTGGCACTTGCTGGATGGAGCGAGCTGCAGTGCTGTTTTTGGGTCCTGTCGCCAGCTCTTGTTCCTCTGGAGTGGCCCTCTTGTGCCTCGGGAGGTGGGTGGGGCCCTCGGACTTCCAAGTGTGTCCCTATTATGCACCTCAGTGGGGTAAGGTCCAGCAGTGAGTCTGGGAGGGACTGGGTTGTGTAAGCCTGCCCTCAGGCTCCACAACTGCTGTTAGCAGTAGTCAAAGTTCTGTTCTTTTCTTCTGTGCAAAGCCACTGGAAGGGGCTGAAATGGCTCCACTCAGCTGAATAGTCTGGGCTTGGGGGGTGGGCTGTCCGAGACCGGCACTCTGGAGCAGTTCTCGCTCCCCTCCAACCTCCCCCACTCCGTGACCTCTTCTAGTCCTCTGCCGGCAAGCAGGAACTCAAGCCAATGGATCTCCCCTGGCTGTGATGTGGGCCGGGAGGTTCCCTACCCAGGATCACAGCCTGAGCTGGGTTTACAGCCCTCTTTTGGGAGGAGGGTTGCTGCTCAGGCATGCTGATGTGCCCCTGAAGGCACACAGTCTTCGGTAGGCTCTTTCACAGATCTCCCTTCTGCACCCTGGGGCAGATCAATCGTGACCTGGGTGTATGGGGTCTGGTCTGCAGGCCTGTCCCCTGGGCCCTGGAGATCAATCCGTGATCCTGCCAGGATGAGGGGTGCTGTTCTCGAATCACCTACAGGGTGCCCAAGCTGGATCGATTTCACTCCACCTCGGGATTTGCCCCACTCTCCTATAGTCACCAGGCAAGCAGCACCTGGGAGGGCTAGCGGGTAGGCAGCTCACAGTCTGAGTACCCCTCATTCTGCCGTAGGGCCCCAAAAGAAAAGGTCCTGTTCCTTGGAGATGCCTTTGTGTGATGGCTAAATTGTCTCTCTGGGCACCCACGTATAGGGAAGGGGAAAGAGAGAATGGAGTAATATGGCGTCCACTGATATGCTCTGGTCTGTGCGTGGGGAGGTGCCCCGAGGGAGCTGGGAGACTCACTGGTGGCAGCCGTCTCTGGGCTGATGTCGGCGGGTCTCTCCAACCGCTCAGGAGCCCACCAACAGTCTGAGATGCAAGGGAGGGGGAAGTTAACTGCTCCACCTACCCTTGTCGTTGGTCTCCAAGCCTCTCCGGGACTTTTCTCCTTCCAATTCTCCTCTGCAACGTCTTCCCGTGGAGTCTCCTGTAGTTTCAGGTACCCTTCCTTCTGACCCTCACCCGATGTATGTTTTTCTGCTAGTTTATTTTTTTCATTTTCTTTTAAAATCTGTCTTCTGGCATAGACACCCTGGTAACTTTTCCGATCCGCCATCTTGGCTCCTCCCTGGTATTAATAATTCTGAAAGAGCTACTTCCTCTTTGTAGTATTATCCTCTTCACTTTTTTTAAAAGTGAGATTCAACTCATGCCTCAAGATTAAACCTTTCTAAATTCTCCAGGGTTATGCCCTCCCCACTTTTTCCATAATGTTTTGTTCATTCCTCACCTATAGCACTTAGCATACTGTGTTGTTACCTGTTTACTTGCTTTTCTCCCATTAGATTATAAATTTCTTAGAAACTTAGACTATATCTTTGTCTTTCCAATCCCTGTTACATTTTATGGCAAAAACTAAGGCCTTAATTTGTTAAATTAATTAATTTCCACTTGAAAATCTCAAAGAAATCTCTAACCGATCTTGTCTAAAACTAAATTATGCATCTTTCGGAAAGAATGCCTTTATTTCTCCAATAAAGAAGAAATTTGGCAGCCTTCCTTAACACTTTCTGCATCCAATTTATCTGTATGTCTTGTTGATTTTACCACAAAGTATATTTCAAATCTTCCAAGGTACTGTTTAGTTCAAGACACAAAGAACTCTTGTCTGCAGTAGTGACAACCACTTAACTTGTCTACCTGCTTGTCCTTTCTATCCCTCCCCAAATTATTCTCCTTTACAATAAGCAGGAGGATATTACAAAAATATACTTTTAATCATGTTTTTTTTTTTCTTCTACTGGAATCCCTGCAATGGTTTCTCATTGTCACAAAAGAGAAACAGTGAAATCCTGAACATGTTCTCTAGGCTGCGTAGGATCTAACCCTTGCTACCTCTTGGGTCTCTTCTGACACCATTCTGCCACCTGCTTACCCATATATAGACTTCACATGTGCTTTCCTCAGCTGGAATTGCCCTTATTACCATTATTTGCTAGATATTTCTTTTTATCATTTAAGTCTCAGCTAATGTTCACTTCTTCACAGAGATCTTTCATGATCACAAATTTAAATTATGATTTCTCTAATACTTTCATTTTTTGCTCCTATTCTTTTACTTCACACACAACTTGCCAGTGCCTGCATATGTATATTCTATGCCCCTCTCCCCACAGATGGTAGGATATATAAGGAATAGGATATGGGGACCAAGAGACAAAGGAACCATTTCTGTTTTTATCACCTTAATTTCTCTAGCACCTATTATTATAATGAAAATAGTATTAATAAAATACTTATCTATTGATTGAAAAGACTGTTCTTTTTTAGCAGCATAGTCTAACAAAACATGGGACAAAAAGTCGCATCTATATAATCATTCACAAGGTGCTTAGCCATGCAAATTAGTTGAATATGCAAGAGAATTTTTCAATTTGACAATAATCCAGTTTGAAATTAGAAAAAACTGTGAAGACATAGTATAAAGAAAATATCACCAGTACTGCTCCTCAGCTCCCTCCAAGAAAACCAATCATAATATATTTTTTCCTTTCTGGCATTTTTTACTGTGTGTGTTTGTGTGTGCATGCACATTGTAGTTCATCTATTCAATAAAATTTGTTGTGTTCAACACTGAGCTAGCTCTGGGGATAATCTAATGGTGAAAATAGGACTCAAATGCTCACGAGACACTGGATATTTTGTTAAATCAGAATTATTTTTAAGAACAAGAAAGTCTTCTATAAACACACCAATGACTAACAAACAACAAACAAACAAACAAAAGCAAATAAAAAAAAAAAATGAGCTGTGTCAAAAAGACCAGGAAGGATCACAGAGTTTTTATAACCAGTCTTTTCAACTACCACTCGACCTGTGATGGACACCATCTAACACTGATGACTTTATGATCTTGTAGCCTCTAGGAGTTTTGTGCTAAATCCACCCGAATTCTAAATCCACTAGATGACCTGATATGCCACATGGTGAGCCCTCTGCCTGGAAGGCTTTTTTCTCTTTTCCTTGCAAACTCGGCTGCATGGGTCCCCTCCTCAGGCTCTCATGTTCATAAATCTATATCCTCATTCTGTAGTAATTATATTTTTACTTTTTTGCCTGCCTCATTAAACTGTGAATTTCTTCAAGACAGGGATAGTATGTTTATTTCTATATTTTTATTTTAGCGATAGGCAAATAGGCACTTCATGTGCTTTTAATAAATGTTTATTGGAGAAAGGATGGAAGGAATTGTATTCTATATTTAAAGTGTAAAAATTAGAAATGACTATGAAATGTACACTGGAAAACACAATTACGTATTCATAACATTTTTTTGTAGCAAAAACACAAAAACAAAAGAAAAAAGAAAATAAACAAGTAGAGACAAGTCTTGCCCTATGCCAATATTAGTTGAAAACTTAGTAGTTAAAGGCTCCTGATTTCAATCAATGAAAGGCGCTAAGAGAAACAAAGAACTTTAAATGAACTTCTGCCCAATTCTGAGCTACCTTTTTGGTCTCGGTTATGCCATTACACATTTTAGTCTCTGCCTGGCTAATACTTCTTTCTCTTCATCTATAACGACACACTTAGCTGGGGCCCTGTTTATGAACTGCGAATTTCCCGAGGATGGGCTGAGAATCCCCTGTAGACAACCTAGTAATTCTGATCTAATTGGGGAGTGAAGACAGGAGTATAGACAGATCTCTCTCTGAGCTCTAAAGATTTTTATAATTTGCTTAGGCTTTGGGAAGGCTTCTGTTCCTAAGGGAATTTTTTGTCCCATAAACAAGACCACCCAAGATGAGAAATACTTGGAGATGTGACTCTCCCTGCTCCCATGTGTGACTTCTTTCAGTTGATTTGTGAGGAATGCACATGTGTTGGCACTGTAATAGATGTACCTGTAAGATCATCAGTGGGCCAGGACCCCAGCTGGCATGCTTTGCAGGTGTATTCATCAAAGACATACTCATTCTCTTTACAAGGTGTACAGGTCCAACAACAGCTGACTTCTCCCTTCCGGATCACCTAAGGCAAATATTTAAAATTTGATCAATAATTTTTGCATGATAAAAATCCAGTGATCCTTTATTCAAATATACTTCTCTGAAAAGCATAAAGGACTTTCACATACATTATTTTAAATGTTATCAGATAAGCAGTGTAAGTACTAATATTTTTATTTTGTAATCGAAGAAACTGATGCTGAGTTTAAACAAGTTCAACATCATAAAGTTGGTTGGTGGCAGGGTTAAGGATTAAATTAAATGCAAGTATTTGTATAATTAGCTCTGGATACTGCATTTAATTAAGTACCTGTGTTTGTACTCATATATAAATATACATACGTGTGCACATAAATGAATTTTCCCCAGGATCTGTGCCTCTCCTTGTCTCAAATTAAGAACTTTTGCTCTCTAGATTTATCTTGGCTGTCCTCTACTAGTTGAATAATAGTGAGCAAAAAAAATTTTATATGTCCTAGTGTTCAAAAATTTATCCATGTTTATAAAAATAATTAGGAATTTGTATTGGGTAGAAAAAGGAAGAAGATGAAGGTTTTTCTGAAGATAATCTCTTGGTCTCTTTCTAATAAAAATCTGGTTCAATAATTCATCCTATTTCTTCTATTTTAGTAGCTTTGTTTTGCTTGGGATGAAGGCAGATAAAGTCATTGAGATCATTATATAGCTGTATATATATTTGAATGTTTAAGGCAATGGAAAATAATTGAAATAATTTAACAGTTGAAAGAGTCACCCATGTTATTCTTTAGAAATGGATATACCTTTTTCCCCCTCACCATTGGTACATGAATAGCCTCTGTGGAATAGAGACAGCATTCATTACACATTCTTATAAATGATTAAAATTGTGATTAATATTCAGCAATAACCAGACATAGCAATGATTATACTTTATATTCCTTGTCTTAGACGCTGACTCTATAAATGACCTTTGATAAAAATATCATCTAGACACTTATATCTAAACATAATTGTAAGCTGATACCTCTCATTTACATTCTGTAATATTCCTTGTGCAGACTCTTAAAATTGCAACAATACAAGTAGGGAATAAATGACAAAAGGACCTGAAATATCTATTCCCTAAAATAACCAAATAAATGAGGCCAAATTGCTCATTAGACCTGCTTAATCTAGCTAAAGTATTCTTTATAATAATATTGTCTATTTATAGGCTATTTAGTGCATGTCATATGTTCTTCTCATATTAAAACATTAGAACAGCTCTGTGTAAGGTAGCTGGTTTTATTTTATTCATTTTCCTTAGGGGAGAAAACAGTTCACATAGCATATTAGGTAGATGAGGGATTAAACAATGTATGTTGGACTTCAAAGCTCATGCTCACAAATATTGAGCCTTACTGGAGGATAGACTTCATATTTTGAAAGATGTAGGTTAAAGAGTACTGGCCTGAGAGCCGGGAGGCACCAGGATTCTAGTCTTACTTATAGCCCCTAAGTAGTTGTGCAGCCTTGAACAGTCCTCTAGCCGATGCACAGTTTTCTCAAACTGAGCCTATTTGTTTTTACAATGATAATACCTACCTTATAGGATTTCCTGAAGATTAAATTAAATCTCACAGTGATTTTTAACATGTAGAACACTCTAACAATGTTACCTATTTTTATTAATGATATGCATATGAATACCAATATATCAAAATGAAGAATTTCATTTTCAGTGTAACTTTAACCACCCTTGGTAAAACTATCCTTGGTCAATTATTAGGTTTTGTAATGCAAGAAGGTAGGCGTATTGCAAATACTGAAGTATTCTCTTTACAGACCTTAGCAGGGACTGGCAAATAAAAGCAGCTGCATTCCTGCTCCTGTCCAGCAAGAAATATGCTGACTTACTATGGTTCAGTTTTCACTGGTTTGTGAATTTCAGTTTTTTACCAAAATAAGTCCAAGCCCTTTTCCAAGAATAACTCCAATATTAAAATCTCTTTCTGAGTCCATAGTGACAACTTAATATGTGTTCTTCTGATCATTTAGAACTGATTTATTTTTTCACGTTCTGTTCTGTTTTACATTCTTTTTGAACAAAAGGTAGTGACAATTCACTTTTATAGTGATTCCCATTCTTTTTTAATATCCTGGAAGTAGTGGTACTTTCTTTACAATAAAAATATGTAACATATTTGAACCTTTGCTTAACTAAACCCTTTCAGGGAAACTAAAATTTCTGAATAATGCCATGAGATGTTGATATCATTAACATTGCTTAGTTTCAGCCTTAAATCGTATTAAGAAAATCTTGTAAATTGTGTGAAAATTGTGTGTAAACAATGTGAAAATGAAACCTGGTTAGCAAAATAGAGTTTGGCATTAAGAAAAGACTAAACAAATATTATTACAAAATAACCAGTATTAAAAATATGATAATAGGGAATCAAATTCTTCCATTGTGTAAATTATTACAAATAGAATGAGGTAGAAAAATATATAAAGCTCTTAAATCAGCCATTTGGCATTTTGAAGTTATGGGTTCAAACTGTACTGCTGTGAAGGTTCAGAAACAAAACATCCATATGGTAATTTACACCATGCGATCTTTCTAAAGGAAGTACTGGAGATTATGAACAATTGATAGTCTGAGTGGGTCCATAAAAGATTTCACATGAAGAATTTAACTGCAAGATGACTGGCCAAGCAAGATGCAGAACTCTTCTTTCACACTATATTAAGGATTAGCAAATTTTTTCTGCAAAGAGCCACATAGTAAATATTTAAACTTTTGGCCATACAGTCTCTACTGCAACTCAGGTATTCAACTCAGCCACTACAGCAGGAAAGTAGCCATAGATAAAGTGTAAACAAATGAGCGTGGTTGTATCTCAATAAAACTTTATTTACAAAAACAGATAATAGGTCAGATTTAGCCTGTGGGCCATAGTTTACCAACTCTAGCAGTAAACCATAACAAGATTTACTGAAAATTTCAGGTATATTGTAAGCTATTGAGCCATTTATTAGACATTAATAAGTTTATTTTTATCTTCATTTACCTTGTCTTTCCTCCCTCTGGTCTTATGCTTTCCAAAAAATCTCCAGAACCACCCTTTGAAGCCTTAGTATCAATACTAAAATATTTCAGTTTCAATCTGAATCACTGATGAATAAATACCTGAGATGTGTTCTAAACAGAGTGAAGGTGAGGGTGATTGAAAAGATTAAGGTCAACAGATTCAGGTATATACGCTGCCTGAAATGTGGTATGGTAGTACTTCAATAACTATGAGCAAACACGTTATTTTTATATCATTTTTTCCATAGGGAAAAATGCACCCCAATAGTTATCCTCCCCCCCTTTTTATTGTATCTTCATCCTCTCCTTCTTCATTGCCTTTTCTTTGTCTGTAAGTGTGGCCAGATCTTACGTAGCCTAAAAGTAGCTTTTCAGTGTCTTCAAATTATCAAACTACCCCTTGTCTGCTTTTCACCACACACTACTTTTTTATACTTTTAAATTTTATTTGTTTAATCGACACATAATATACATATTTATGGGATACATAGTGATGTTTTGATATATGTAATGCATCGTGATCATTAAGAATAATTACCATATTCATCATCTCAAACATTTATCATTTCTTCGTGTTAGAAATTTTCAATATCTTCCTTCTAGCTGGAAACTATATAATATATTATTGATAACTATAGTCATCCTACAGTGGTATAGAATGCTAGAACTTATTCCCCCTATCTAGCTGTAATTTTGTATCTTTTAACAAATCTCTCTCTATCACTTCCTTCCTCCTACCCTTCCCAGCCTCTAGTATATTCTGTTCTACTTTTTGACTTCTATGAGATCAACTATTTTTAGCTTCCACATACGAGTGAGAACATGTGATATTTAACTTTCTGTACCTGTCTTATTTCACTTAACATTATGTCTTCCAGTTCCATCCACGTTGCCACAAATAACAGGACTTCATTCTTCTTTATGACTGAACAGTATTCCATGGTGTATATGTACCACTTTTTCCTTATCCATTCATTTTGATTCTTGATTACCATCACATTCTGTGCAATCTGGCAGATCCAGATGAGGAGCTAACCCTCAGTTCTGTCTTCCCCCCATTCTTCCTCTTCTTTGACCTCTCTCTCTTCACTGACTACCATCTTATGTGGCAGTGTGCTCTCTGGTTGTCTCTCTCTCTCTCTCTCTTTCTCTGAAACTGATGCTGCTCAGCCTCTACCTCTTCTTCCTCCTTTATACTTTAAAAGCAGATACTCTCCAAGGTCTATTCTTGGTCCACATTAATTTTTTGTTTAAATTTTCAGGATCAGTAATTTTATCTACTTTTTACAGCTTCAACTTTAGTACTATTTAATTAATTCCTAAATCTTTATCTTGGGCCTTTTTACTCATTGTTCTAGACCAATACTTTCCATCACTGGCTGCTATCTTAAAACCAACATGCTCCCAAAGTAACTCATCACCTTTTCTCCAAAACCATCCCAATTTTTCTATTCCTGACAATGACACCTTTTTAGTGACTAAAACTTGGAATTGCAGTTGATTGTCTTGGACTATATTCTCTTCTCCAACTCAACGTCTAGTTGGTAGTCAGGTCTGATACCTCTATGTTTTTCCCAAATATTTCCCCTTCTCCCTTTTCATTCTCACTGCTTCATCCCTAGTTCAGGGACTTGCCACTATTATCACAGCATCCTTCTAATTTGTCTGTTCTTTTTTCAGGTTTTATAACTCCACTCATTAATCTTCACCTACCACAGCCCAATTGATGTCAACAGCTTGGTCAAAATTATTTTCTGACTCCTATAGAACAAAAATTAAGTTCAATCTATTTAGCATAACATTGAAAACTCTCCATGAATCTGGCTCCAACTTATCATTGCAACTCTCTCTTTTATAATAACCATATAGGTGCAATGCACTCTAGATTTTCACTATTATTATAGAACAGTCTTCAACTGACCACTTTTGCAGCTTTTCTATTACTGCTCCCTTTTACATAAATGATCTCTCTCTAAAATTATACCAATTTTTTATGGTCCAACATTTGACATTTTATTCATAAGAAATCTTTCTCTCTCTTTCTTTCTCTCACTCTCTTGTATAAACTTATATAGCTCTTTTTTTTCCTTAGTGAAATCATCACATTTTACAAGATGTTGCTTGTCTGAGTCCATGATGTTTTCCGTCATCTAGACTGTAAATATTCTGACAATAAAGGTTGTCTCATTTATTTTCGCCCCATTGATATTAACTATTATGTTAATAGGCATTTGATAAATATTAGTTAAATTAATTAGAACAAATGTGCTTTCCAACTGTAAACTGTTTATTCCCAGGAAGCAATGTCTGTAAAGTCTTGTATCAGCAGAAAGGGTGTGGGCAAACATGACTCATCAATTGGCTCAATCAAACCAACTACTAAGACTACTGTGAGTTGCATGCTGGACCTCTTAAGGAATTAGTGAGAAAAAAGCAAAAAACCCAATCTCTGACATTAGAAGCTTATAATGTAAAAGATAAAACAAGAATGTAAAATTTTTACAAATAGCCAGTGATGACACTGTTGAATTTGCAACAAAAATTAAAGAAATATGGACTGAATTTTACCTTTATCTGGCCTTTCTCACATGGTTCACTGCATACAGATCTGATGATGTTGTTTTTCTTGGACCATACCTCATCATCATCCATTTTTAATTCTCCATTGTCCCAACTTCCAACATTAATGTAATCAAAATAATCTTTTCCCATTTCCTTGAAATTCATTATTTCATACCTTAGGAATAAGAAAATAGTAATTATTTAGCTAAGGATATAAATATTCAGCTATGAAAAGGCAATAGGTTTTATTCCCCAAAATGTTCTGCATTTCATATAAGTAACACTGGAATTTTCCATGACAGTGCACTTAGAATAACAAAAAACCTGTCTGTTTCACTTTCTCTTCAGAGACCATTTTTTTACTTTCAAGCTTATACCTGAAATAGAAAGTAATCCCATGTGAGAAGCTGACTTGACTTTAGCAGGAGGAAAGACAGTTTTGAAATAACTTCAAGAAGTTTAAACAAGTACTACTGGTAGGCTTCTAAAAAAGATAAGAAAATGTTTTTGTCTCCATTTAAGTAAAATGATAAAATTTTCATTTGGTAACTGAGAAATTTGGTAAATTTTTTTTTTTTTTTTTGAGACAGAGTCTCACTGTGTTGCCCC